TCTCCCTCTCTCTCTCCTTCCCTCCCTCCTCTCTCTCTCCCTCTCCCCCTCCCTCCCATAACTCCTAACAGGTTTCTTTTTGGGGCCTGCCTGTATGGCACTGAGAGCTGACTTACACTATGTTCATTTATTTAATCTCCCTGATCCACCCAAGTAGGGAAATAAGTTGACTCAGATAATGGTGTATCCTGTGGGGTGGCTGAGTTGACTGTTCCACTGATTCATGAAAATTGCAGACCATGGATGGAAAGATGCCAAGGCCTGTGTGTGCATGAGAGATTCCATCAAGTAAGGGGATTGTGAAGAATGGCTGTAGCTCAGATGGGATGCCTTGTTGCCAAGTAAGGGTAGTCCTTTTCCTTTTCTGATTCCTAAAGGGCATCATCCTGGGGACAGCTCCACATGTGGGGTGGGGGTGGATGAGGAGTGTGTCTCTAACCCCAATCAGTGACACAAATCAAAGCTAAGGGAAGCAGGCTTGACAACTGATGACTCAGCAAAGAGAAAAGCTTGAGCTTCCAAAGGCATTGGTTTATTCTTGGGGGAGCTAACTATCACACCAGAAGAGGAAACTCAGAAAAGGAGCATCCTCTGCAGCACAGTAGCTGTGAGAGAATCTGATGATGAGTCCTCTTTCCAGGCCCCTACACAGATATATCTAGTACAAGTGACACAAGCAAGGTCACTGTTTATCAACATGCAATACACAGACACACACACAGTCACAAGGGAGAGGACTTCATGCATGAGGCAGAAACAGCGGACCAGGCTCCAAACACAAAACAATACATCAAGCCTCCAGAGAATCCACCTTGACCCCATCCAATGGTGTACAAGTCCCCAAGTGTCCGACGGCGACCCACGTGCCGGGGCAAAGACCAGTATCTCCAAGAGACTGGGAATGAAGCATGTTGAATAGTAGAAACCAGGAAATGGATAAAACAGGAGATGAGAAGGCAGCACTAACAAGGCAGAGATAGCACCTACAACCTACCATTGTTTCTTATTTACATACATGTTACTTCTCATCTGATGTCACATCTGATCTTTCAGAAGCAGAAAGTCCTCAAATAAGGACCCCAAGCTCTAGCCAAGGGAGTGGTAGCTAAACTGACCTAATTTTGTGTCTAACATCTGATTACTAAGAGACTTGAAAGTAGGGGTTCTTAAGCTGGAGTCCATGAACTTGCTTTTTAAAATATTTTGATAACTATTTCACTATAATTGGTTTAATTTGCAATCCTAGTATTTTACTTTTATACATTTAAAACACTATTGTGAGAGGGGGTCCATAATCTTCACTGGATTGCCAAAGGGGTTCATGACACAAAAAAGATGAAGAATCTCTACTCTAGGGGTTGGATTATTTAGGGGAAAATCCATTAATGACAAGCTTTTAGAAAGGGGACGAAATTGCACTGCCCAATCTTTGTTTCAGAGAACAGATGAAGAAATACTTTCCTTTCTTGGTAAAGAGCTGGGGGGGAGGGGCCATGGATGTAGAATGTTGCATGCACTGTCATGAGTAGTTGTTTTGTTAACTGGGTTCTGCTTAACTATTCCACTTTATAACAAAGGAGGATTCAGTGGAATAGGGACAGTATCTAGAAAAATGGTTATAAAATAAATAGTGCAAAAAACAAGACAGTAATAAAGCTTGTTTTCTGAATAATTTAGAGGGAAGATTGGGGAAATTTACTGAAGTGTGTCAAAAAGATTAATGGCTTGGATTTTTTTTTGGGGGGGGGTGGCTTGATCTGTGTAGGGAGGTCCTGATTAGGAAATTCCCTATTCCCATGTAGATTGGCAACTGTTCTGTAGCTCAGTTTTATTTTTTTTAATTCATCAATTTATTTATTTTAGTTTTCAAAATTCACTTTTATAAGATTTTGAATTCCAAATTTTTTTTCTTTCTGTCCCTCTGCAACTCAGTTTTAGAATTGCCTATAATCACACAGCTAATGCAAGTCAGAGGCCAGGCTTGAATACAACTCTTTCTGACTCTAGAGCTAGCTCTCTATCCACTATACCACATGGCCTCTTTGATACTTTGGATAAGGGGGTATATTTTAAAAAACCTCACACATTACAAATACGTTTAAAGCTGCTTATGACTTACAAAAACTTAAAATAACTGAGCTCTTTATATTTAAAACTATAAGCTTAGGTGGCTTGTTAGAAACTGTACCATTAGACCATGAATATTCACAAAAGTACTCAGGCTGGCTGGAGCAACAGGAGTTGCTTCTGACCCACTTTCTCCATAATCAGCCTAGGTGCCCCATGTTAGGAATGTTTAACTAGTTTCAAGTCCAGGTAAAGGCCTAAGTCTTCTGGAAGCATTTTCATTCATGATTTTTTTAAAAATAAGTTTTTACTGATGTCTTCTGTTTTTTACATCATCATACCTTTTCACCCTTTATTCTTTCTCCTTCCTTTCCCTACTCAGAGAGCCATCCCATATAACAAAGACAAAAAAGAAAGAAAGGAAAAAAGTGGGAAAAAACTGGTACAACCTGTCAAAATGTAAAAAGTCAGAAAACATGTGCAGTGTGGTAATACCAGTGGCCTTCTCACCTCCATGAGGGGGTGGGATGGAGGAGTGTCCTCTCATATCTCTTCAGCATTCATGATTTCTAAAGGAAAACAGTGCATTTGCTGGAGACTGGCAGTTGCAATAGCATACATGGTTTTCTGGTTTGGTAACTCAAGGCAAATCCTGAAAGACTAGAACCCAAATGTGGAAGGCTTTGTTGATCATTTCACCCAGATTATTTTAATGGTGGCAGTAGTCAAGTTTAGCACAAAAGTGGATCATACTCATCAACATTTAAGTCAGAAAAGCATCACAAGTAATCTCTGACTTGATGGCTTAGTAAAAGCAAACCAGGCATTTGGGTCATTATTAAAGATTCCCTCCCGGGTTGTCAGTTCTAATAGATCACATTGAGTGTAAATTTCAAGTGATCAGCCCCTTTCTTTCTGCCTTTACTAGGAGAATCTCTAATAAGATCAATCGATGATATTTATATAGTGCTTTAAGGTTTGCAAGCACTTTTTGCTAATGACCTGGTAATGCCTGTAATGGACTGACAAAGAATCATTCCTGGATGGAAAACAGAGGGATAGGCTTCCATCATACTTTGACAGTAGTCAAAGACTAGCAAAATGCTGTCAACAATCGAACACTAAGGATGTCTGAAGCCAGATCCTTCTGGGTTTTTCTCCAAACTGGCCTCTAGGGGTAGAGGCAGTGATTCTCTTCATTCCCAATTCAAATGCCTAGTTTGCTTTTACCAAGTTACTGGGCCTAAGTTACAACTAAGTTACAAGTTACTATTTGTCTCCCAGTAGATTTTCAATTCCCAGCAAAGACTGAATGAAGATAAGGGAGAGGGCTTAGAGAGTACCATACCAACCAAAAAGGCTTTAGCTACCACTTTGTGGCAGCTTCATAGGATCACATTTAACCACTCACTCATGCCTTCATTCAATGCATGTGTGGGATGCGTGTAGGAAACTTTGCTATATGTTGAGGGAGATGTAAAGTTCAAATAAGACACAGTTCAACCTTTATGGCACTGACAGTCGAAAACAAGAAGACACAAAGATAGAGTATATAACATCATGTGTATTCTAGTGTCTCAGAGCTAAAAGGGATTATAGGAATCATTGAGTCTGACCTTTCACTCAGTACAAGGATTCCTTTTGACCAGAGTCATTGGAAATATTCATATATACATAGAAACACAAGGCTGAATTTTTCCTACCTTCTTCAGGTTGCAGAGAAAATTCATCCTGGCCACCATCTTGACCTTCCAGACAAGTTGCAGGGACCCAGCCCTGCTCATCCGCAGTGCTTACAAACCACCAACCTGGAAGGGAAAAAAGGCTAGTGGATAAATGTAGTTGGATAGTGCATTGTAGCTGTATCAATCTCCTCACCATCTCTCCCATGTACCATGCTCATTCCCACCTTGATGCCTTTGCTTCTACTATGCTCCCCACCTAGATTATTTGTCCTGTTTCTCTCCACCAATCCATATCCTATACATCCTTCAATGTCCAGGTCCCATATCACTTCTCCCTGATAATCTCTGTGCACAGTGATTCAGTTTAATTTAATTCAAGAACATAACTGAGGGCCAATGGTGTACAGAATTCTGTGCCAGATCCTGGGTGACATGTAAAATTTGGATAAGACATTGTTCCTGCCCTCATAGAATTTACAGACTAATTGGGGAGAGGGTATGAATCAAGTAAGTATTGTACAAAACAGTATATAATAAGCATACAAGAAAGAAGTCAAGGGAGGTGGGGTAGACCAAAGGAGACATCTGAGGAGGGTGTCATTGGAGTAAAACTTTGTAATATGGGTAGGACTTCAGTAGATTTGTGTGGGAGGAAGGCATTTTAGATATAGGGAACACCATGACTACAGGTGCAAAGGTATCAAAGTATAGTGCTTGTATGAGGTAGTGAGTGGTCCAGTTTAGATTCAAAAGGCAGGGTGGTACTGCATTGTGGAGGGCCTTGAATTCCTGGTTATTCGAACTTTACTCAGGGTCAGGAATAAGGACAAGACATGTGATTTTATTGGTATAGGAAACTTCGAGATAAGGAAATTGCCTCTACCAATCAATGCAGGCCTTCTCTGCAACTTAGAGACTGAGTTGCCTAGATCACTGAACTTAGCATAGCATCTGGAAAATTTTTGTTGTTCAGTTTCATTGTTTTTCAGTTATGTATGACTCTTCGTGACCCCATTTGGGGTTTTCTTGGCAAAGACACTGGAGTGGTTTGCCATTTCCTTCTTCAGCTCATTTTCCAGCTGATGAAACTGAGGCAAACAGGGTTAAGTGATTTGTTCAAGATCACATAGCTAATAAGTGTCTGAGGACAGATTTGAACACATGAAGATAAGTTTTCCTGACTTCAGGCCCAGTACTCTATCCACTGAATCAGCTAGCTGCCTTCTGGCAAATAACAGGTGCTTAATAAATGCTTGCTGACTTGTTGACTGAGAGGACTTGCCCAGTGTGACACAGCCAGTAGGCATATTCTCTATTGTACGAGTAGGGGTCGGGATAAGGGCTAAAACTATAGGAAATTATCAGATGAGAAAAGTCCTTTCCAATGTAGAACAGCACGTTCCTTGCAACTTGCAGCCTCAGAGAGTTGCCTAGGGCAGTAAGAAGTCCAGGGACTTGCCCAGGATCTGTATCAGAGGTGAGACTGGAACTCAGGTCTTCCTGGCTCTAAGGCCAGCTCTCTAGCCACTCCACCATATTGCCTCTGACTTCACTTTGTAGACAAAAACCCAATAACAAATTTTGACCAGAGAAGTGACATGTCCAAATCTATGCATAAAAAAGATGTCTGGTAGCAGATTGAGAAACAATTAGGATCTCTCTCCTTTCTTTGAATTCTTACAGCACTTAACGCCTATTACATTATCTAGAACTTGGTTGTTATACAGTTGTATTATTGTGTGTGTACGTGTGTGTAAATTTTGTGTTTCCATGTACACGAGAAACTCCTCGCAGGCAGAAGCAGTGATTTGTCATTTGATATGTTTGTGGACTTGTTTTAACCATGCCTTTCCTGCTCATCCTTCCTGTGCATAGAAACGCTTTGGGCCAAATACAACCCACTGCCTTCGGTATTCAAACCATGCTCAAGTTTGATGAAGACTATGTTGGAAACTGCCATTGGTAAAGACTGTTTGATGCTGATGAAGGAGGCAGGAATGTATGAGGTATGTACAAAGTCAAAATGAAGCTGGGATATGGATCAAATTCTGGTTCTGTATCAGATTTACTGAGCTACTCAGACTTTCTGTTCATCAGTTTCAGCCATGGAAATAAGACCCAAGCAATCCTCTTTTGGGAGGAGTCTACACCTGGGGATCAGAACAATTTTTACTGCTGAAGTTAAAGACATGATTATTTTTGGACAATTATGAGGATGCATCTAGGCTGGTCTATACAGGTAAGCTAGAGAAATTGTAGTTTAATTTGCAGAAATTGTACTTCATATTGATGACAGTCATATTTAGGAGCTAAATACTCATCACAGATTCAGGATGTATGCAATTCTAATTTACTTGACTGATGGTGCTAATTAGTAACCTAGCCAATGTTTACATTATCCAGAAAATGTCAGAAATAGATTTTTCTTCCCATGAACCTGAGTCTAAATCTGGTCTCAGACACTTATTAGCTGTGTGACCTTGGGCAAGTCACTAAACTTCTGTTTGCCTCAGTTTCCTCATCTGTAAAGTGGGAATAATAACAGCATCTAGCTCCCTGCATTGTTGTGAGGCCCTAATGAGCTAATAAGTGTAAAGAGCTTAGCACAGTGCCTGGCACATGGTAAGCATTACACAAATGTTAACTATTATAATTATCATTAGAGAACATTTTGATTCAAAGCAATGTATTGTTATGGCTCTTAGCCAGTCATTTGGGTTATTTTCTAGATTGGCCAGCCACAGACTTTAGCCATAATAAACATATTGAATCTTTTGTATAGTTTACTCTTCCATTAAAAGATTTGTTTCTCCTCCTCTAGTTTCTTCTCCTTTACTTTGTCCTGTCCTAACGTCTGATATGACGTTTGATGAGTACTGATCATCAGTCATTCTGATGCTAAGGCTAAAAAGAACAGTTAACTCTAGCTGACATGGTTTCTGCACTGTGAATATGGGTCAGCTAAGAACTGGGCTGAAACCATCAACTCCATGAAAATCTGAAACCCATGACTATTCTGTGATGACAAATGTTCAGGATGATCTAAGCCAATTAACAAAAGTAGATTTTCTTTGAAATGGCCAGATGGTTTCATTTCACCACGTTCATGTGACTATGACAAAATGACCTTTATTACAGGTCACTAGTGGTGCTCATGGTCTGGGATCCTGGGTCTCAATTCCTGCTGCCATCCCAAAGTGTCTGCCTGAGATAGTATTGGTAAGGAATAGCCGTCTTACCTGATTCATTCTTCTCGATGATGTCCACTACCTGGCCCACACACAAGCTGATCTCTGAACTTTCCTGCTTCTGGTAATCTGCCACCACCACATATTGCTCCAAGACCATTGGATCTACCGAGGCTGAGTCTCCCCCTGAAATTGGGAAAAGAAGAAATCTCCACATCTGGCTAATCTAGTCACTGAGGAAGGGTACTGTGGCCCTAGAGAGAAGGCTGGGGTGACATGACATTCTGAATGGAGAAAAGGACAGCCAAGTGGAGTCAGTATTGAAGGTCACGGCATAGGACCGTGTGTGTGTGTGTGTGTGTGTGTGTGTGTGTGTGTGTGTGTGTGTGTGTGTGTCTCCCACTTACCCCATGGGAGTTAATGTACCTGAAGAAAAGATGGAGGAAAAAAAGAAATGAAAAATAGTGGAAGGGAGGAATGAAAGAGAGTAAAGAGAAGTAAAGGAGAAGAAATGAGGAAAAAGAAGGAATAAAAGAAAGGAGATAGGCAAGGAAAGAAAGACTAGAAGCTGACATTCTCTCTTTCTCTCTCACCTTTTCCTTGTGATCCCTTCTGTTTACCTTTCCCAGACAGGCAGTGTAGTGTAGCGAAAGGAATGCTGGGCTTAGATCAAGAGACCTGGATTTTGATTCTATCTCCAGTACTTATTAGCCGTGTGGTACCAGGCATGTCACTTAACCTCTTAGTCTCAGTTTGCTCACCTATAGAATGGGGATAATATTTGAAACACCTCCTCCATAAGGTTGCTGTGAACAAAATGCTTCATAAATCTTAATACACTGTATCAATGAGAATCATATTACTACTTTGGGGCCAAAAATGAAGCCGTAAGCATGTTGAATTTGGTTTTCTTTGGAGCCCACAAGCACTGAATTCCTCAGAGCCTCTCCTACAAAGGGCTAGAACTCAGCTCACCCGAGAGGGCCCAAGCCACTACTACCCACCCAGAGCAGGGTAGCAATGGGGATAGAAATGTCCAGGACGGGCTTTAAAGTAACTTAGGGCCAATGTAGGAAATTGGCAGGGGGAAGGGTAGAAGGGAGGGAGGGTTAGGGTTAAAATAAACCTAAATTATAAATAAGCCTAATTTATTTTATCCTAAAGTTAGTTTGTGCCAAGAATCCAGCTGTCAGCCTTAGGCTACCACAGGCCAGGATATCACTTCCTATAATAATCCCAACAGGTGGAGCCAGACCTCTGAGTATGTGCTTCTTCCAAAGGTTGTTAGCCCACACATGGGACTCAAAACCCCAGGAATCCCGCTGTCTCTGCACTTCTGTGCACATGGGCATCCTCATGAAAGACCAAAAGGAGATACAAACAATCTAGCAAAGTAATCAGATTTGAACCAGTGACATCTGTTCTTGCATGAACCCAAAATATACACACAAATGTAGCAAGTTTGTATTTTTTTTAGCTATGGGTTATGATTTTTTTAGTCTTCTGGTACCCATGTATCTAATGTGAACATATTAGAAATCATGGTTGAGGAGCTATTTGTAGCATATAGGTCCCCACTAGGATTTCCCTCCAAGGCAACAGGTGAATGCACATGAGAGCAGGGCCACCAGTATCTTTATATAATTCTTGAATATAGCTCAGTTGAACATGCAGACTATGCTTGGTCTATGGAAGTTTAAAATTGATCATAACTGCTCTTAAGACAATCACTGATTTTTTTTTTCTTTGTCTCACTAGCAGTAACCTTATTCTTTGTGCTAGAAATTTCCTTGAGAACTGTCACATTTAGGAACTCAGAAAGGGTCAGAAGGATTACCAAGGTCCCTAAAAACTTTTTCTGAAACACAGGTCACAAACTGAAGAAAACAGTCCTTCCAGGTTAATGTTACCAGCAGGCTATTACCCATTTTGGGAAAAAAAGTTCCCAGGGATCCCTACAGTCAAGTTTCTTTGGAGGGAGGGGTTTCTAATTGGCGAAAACAAAGGCAGCAAAAATCTATTCAAGAAAAAATACAGCATTGTACAAACAGTTAAAACTCTCCATCCTGGGCTAACATCACATTTATCAGAAAGAAAGATTTTGTATTGGCATGACTGCCCTGAATTGGACCTAACAAGATCTGGATCAAAGGATAGTGGTGAGGTAACACTTGAGTTTCCAACTCCATGTGAATGCTTCCATGCAAACATTCGAAGAATCTGTGATTTGATCAGCTCTGTGACAACTCCTTCCACCAGCAGAGACAACCAACTGCCTTTGACTTAGCCAACTAATCCAGTCCACATCTGGAAAGAATTCCCAATACAACATACCTGACAAGTGGTTTTCCAGCCTCTGTTTGAAGAGCTCTACTCAAGGGATACCCGCTATTCCCTAACACCATCCATTCCATTTTGGTACAGCGCTAATCGATAAGAAGTTTGTTTTTTACATTAAGTCTAAAAGTGTTTCTTTGCAACTTTCACCCACTGCTCTTGAATCTTGCTCTCTGGGTTTAGATAGAGGAAATCTAATCCTTTCAGATAAGTCCTAGGACTCACAGAGGTTAAATGACTTGACCAGTCACACACCAACTAAGTGTCTGAGGTAGGATTTGAATCTAGGTCTTCCTGACTCTAACCCTAACAAGCTGTCCACTACACCAGAGATAAAAAAACATGTAGTGGCAGGCAACTCTCCCCAGTGTAGCAGGAGCCAGATTAACATGTAATTGGGAAATATTTGCCAAAATAAATAAAAATACAATAGAACACATACAATGTAAACAGGTGGTTTTCTAAGTCAACCTGCAGCCCACAGGGATCGTTATGGAAAGTTTAGAAATAGAAATGGATTCCCATTTCTATTTGAATTTGACACTACTGCATTACACTACGCTGACTCTTGCATGTTTTTAAACAGTCTGAAAATGTGACCTAACACACCTTGTAGCAAAAGAATGCATAAATCATAGAGTTAACTGAAGAGCTAACAGCACATCAGCAATTGAAGAAGGGACACTGAGAATAGGGAGAAGGAAGAAGGAAAAAAGGAGAGTGGGTTAAGGTTTAGAGATGACTTTTGTAAGACAATGCCTTCTCCTTATCCATAGAATTTACGTTTCCATTCCTTCCAAAACTCAGCATGAGTCCCTGTCCAAACCTTAGACTCTGAGTGCCTAGATCTAGACGAGGGTAGCTAGGTGGCAGTGGATAGAGTGCTGGGCTTGGAGTCAAGAAGACCTGAATTCAAGCTCGACCTTAGACACTTAATAGCTGTGAGATTCTGGGGGACTCACTTTACTTTGCCTCAGTTTACTCACCTGTTAAATGAGCTGGAGAAGGAAAAGGCAAACTACTGCAGTATCTTTGCCAAGAAAACCCCAAATGGGGTCACAAAGAGTTAGATACAACTGAACAAGAACAAAACCTACTTGTATTATCTAAGATTGCCAGCAAGCTCTCAAATATATTTCATTGTATCCTTTTGGATAAAAGTTTTTTGTATAAAGAAGAAACTATGAAAATAGAATCTACAAATTCATAAATATGTATATACATATATATTATTCAGGGGAAATGTGGCATGGGGGTATATTCCTATGGTACAGTTGGAAGGTGGAGATGAGAGTATAAGGTGGGGAGGGAAAGGAAAAGGACAAGATGTAACAGAAAAGGACAAGATGTAACAGCACTGAGGAGATTCTAGAGCTGAGAAAATGTTGCAAAGCACCTCCCCTGCAAGCATAATACTGCTGAGCATTCCTGGAACTGGTCATAAGGGCCCTTGGTCACCATTTTCTTAGGGATTTTTTTTTTTACATGGTAATGCATCTCCCTTCCACCAACAACCTTCAAAGGTTCATTATGATATGGAAATGACCCTGACTCCCCCATAGGCTAGGTCAGCTGGATCTAAGCTCTAGAAGGGTCCTGCCAAGCTGGAAGGGCTTTGAGTATGGCAATGCCTGTCCTTCAATGACCTCCCTAGCTAAGTGAGGAGAGGGACTTGCAACCAGAAGGCTGGCCACCAGGTGATAATTTGGGGAAGAGGGAGCAGGTGTGATGATGCTGTGATTTGAATTAGTATTGGAAGTACCAGTATAGGTACAGTACCAGTACCAGTACCAGTACCAGTACCAGTACCACTGAAAACACAAGATTTTCTAAAGCAATGGTGTCAGACTCAAATAGAAACAATGTAAGCTGCATATAGACTTAGAAGACCATATATTAATAATATCTATGTTCTATTGTGGTTTTATTTATTTTGTTAAATATTTCCCAATTACATTTTAATCTGGTTTTACCTCACTGAGAATTACTGTAGGCCACATAATGTGTTTGACATCTCTGTTTTAAAGCATCACAAATTTTATAACACAGGTCAGTGACAAAAATATAATTCACTTTGCAGAATTTACTTCATAGACACTTACTAGAGCATATCGAGTCTGGAAAGCAAACAATATTTGAGTAAAGAATAATATTCAGGGTGTTTGAATGGTATAAAAAACCTCAGAGAATGTTGGTTTTGGGTGATCCAAAGAAGATATGGAAAATAATTACTAAATGAAATTATCTGGACCACTATGAGACTGTGGGATCCTTTTCTCTAGTAGAATCAGTGCAATTCCAATAGCTTAATAATCTTTAGGACTGGTCTAGTCAAAGCCTTGGGAGGGGGAAATTGACAGAAAGGAACAACCTAGCATAGACATAGGATTTTTTTTTCCCCAATGCAATCATCTTTGGTTCCTTAAAGCAATAAGATGCTATGAACTTTAAACTTCTCTGAAACATCTGCACACGTCCCCTCAGGTGGTCCTAAAGGATGGACAAATTTAAAGGTAGGATTAGAAAGATGTCTGAGCCAAGAATCAGCTCTGATTTTGAAAGTTATGGTCAAGACTGTATAAATAAGCTTTCCCAGCATTGCAGGCGAGTGAAGCAGTCAAGAGTTATCACTAATTAGAGGCTCCTCTCTCCCTTCTAGGTGAGGGCCTTCATCAATGTCTCTGAAAAAATGTTTCTCTTCCATGCAGACACTTCAGCTTTATTTACCAAAGTTGATTCTTCTTCCTTTTCATCCCACCCACTGGTTCCTTCCAAGGATAAGATCCTAGCCATAGTTGAAAACACAGACCTTTTGACCGTCTCAAGAAGGGCAAAATGCCCTCCTATTTTCTGCTCCCTTCTGGGGGCCATATAATTATCCATGGGTCTAGTGGCTATTTGCAGCTTGAGCAGGATGCCAAGCCTCCCCCAAGTACCTATTAAACCAGAAAATGAGAGCTGTAAACAGAGTTTGGTGAGAAGAGGTAGGAGGTAATTCCAGGCTTTGGGCCTTTGGGCAGTTCCTTCCAACCCTTAAAAGGCTAGATCTAGTTTATAGAATGTCTTCTTTCCAGGGACAACCTTAAATCTTTTTTAAAAGCACTGTTGACCACAGTCTTTCCACTCAGGAGTGGCTCAAGAGACCAGAGATGCTGAATTCAGAACAACTGTTGCATGGTGAATGTGTACAACTGCAAGCTATGGAGGAGACTAGGTTCGTTCACTGTATGGAACCACCAGATTTGGAACCGAAAGTGATCCTGCGGATCATTTGGTCCATTCCCTTCCCTTTACAGAAGAGGAAACTGAGGCCCAGAGAGGTGAAATAACTTGGCACACAGGCAGCAAGTGGGCCAGTCAGGATTTGAATCCGGTTACTTTCCAGGAGTGGTGGCATCTGACACTATACCCTTAGGACATTCCCTACTTGACCCAGAAGCTAGCTCCAAAAATGTAGAACGTGAAAATATACTGACTACCACCACCACCACCACCATCTATGTAATACTTCTAAGAATTCCTACAAATACAACTGTACTCAGAAATCACTGGATGAAATCTGGTAAAAGAGGTCTCTGGTGACTGGGGAAAGATTCTATCATTTTTGCCTGGATTGTTCCAAAACTGTTAAACCTTAGAATCTACTGTGAGATCATAAAGGGCCTAGAGGGACAAGGTTGGGAACAACTATCAGGTGTTTTCTGCAAGGTACGCACATACATACAGACACACACATAAACACATGTACACACACACACAGAACCAACAGTACAAGACAATGTTGGGACACCCTTGGGAGGTCATGGATCACAGATAGAGAAGAGACCTTAGAGACCAGTGAGTCTAACTCATCATTTTACAGGTGAGAAATCTGAGGTCTGGGAAGGCTGAGTGGTTGTCCACTAGTAAATCTCTGAGGTAGGATTTGAATTCCACTCTTTCCAATTCCAATTCCAGCACTCTATCCGCTAAAAGAATGGAAATCATTACTACAGATCCTGAGACTGTTATGGCTCCCAAGACTGAGAGTAGAACATTCTTCTCCATGTCCTCCACATCTTTTTCTTTCTCTGTTGTTTCCCTCATTTGGAGAAGAGTGAAGAAAGCTATAAAAGAAAAGACTGGTTTCAAGGAGAAAAGGAGCTGCCCCTGTTGGAAGACCTTCGGGGCTAGGGACCCTAACATCTCCCAAAGCAGACCATTCCCCTTTGGAATGGGCCGGAACAGATTAGATGAGACTCTATGCAACACTGTTGATGAGGATGACGATGATATTTCTAGAGGGCTTTAAAGAGACGACAAATGGCTGTCTTCACAGCAAACTTGTGAGATCTGAGGCATTTTGGGCACCTTTGATTTCATTGGTATAAGTGCACCTCTCACTGCTACAGGTCACACCCCTTTAGGCCTTCCTAAATGATCTTTGAGGGTGACCATGTACAAGAAAATTCATCACCTTGCAGTTAGGCTAATGATGAATCCAGTCCATTGCTATGCCAAAACTCAAATCCCCCCAGCTTCTTAAGACCTATCTAAACTTAGATTTGGCTTTCATTGCCATCAAGGACCCTGGATAACTCACGTCCATGATATGAGGAGGTACTGGTATAGGACTTTGATGAAGGAGGTAGGTAGTGCAAGTATTATTATCTTCACTTTACAGAAGAGGAGACTGAAGGTCAGAGAGGTTAAGTGACTTGTCCAGAGTTGCACAGTTAACAAGGATTAGAACTAAGACTCACACTCAGGTCCTCAGATTCCAAGGCCAGGAACAGATGGAAGAATCTGGAGAGATAATTCAATGGCATAGAGAGGGAAAAGAATTTCATTCTTACCAGATTTCTTCTTCCCAATATGTTCCCTGTAGAGGAGAGAAGCAAGGGTGGGAGGGAAAAGAGAAATGAGTCAGCATATATTGTGTATAAATGATGAATTATTTAATTTAGTAACAGTTTCTGCATTCTAGAGAAATAACAGTAGAAGTTTCCAAGACATCTGTATTGGATAGAAAACATCTCAGAAAATTCCCTTGATGTTACTATACCCCTACATCTTGGAGTTCCACCTTGTAAAGCCAAATTTCTTAAAGAAATCACTGGACAAGGAGGTATTTTGGTTCTCTGAAAAGAGGAAACCACCAGGACAAAGCCTTGAGCGGGCCTCAGGCTAAGGAACAGACAGCCAATGCAGGAGCTTCAGCCAGCACATCAGTAAGAAATCCAAGAACGAATCCAAAATGGATGTCCCTCCAAGTTTCAGGCATACAGAGAAAGTGGCTGTAGTAGTGGAAAACATACTCAAAGACTAAATCCAGGATCTAAGTAACCAATACACTTATCTTTAAAGGAGGACAAACGCCAATGCACAATAGGGGGCATAGGGCTCATGGGATACTTCCTACCCATTGACTTGTATTGTATAGACACACGTGAAAACAACTGAAGGAAAGGGTTCCTAAGCTTGGAGAGGTTTCCTTAGTTGTAGTTCTCTGGCATTGAGTAGGCTCATGATCTATTCTCCTACATGTAAAGTGCATGTGTGGTCCGATTTCCCAAGTTTTTCCTAATCTTTCTCATATGCAATATCACATTTGAAGAAGCACCACAGAGAACATGATTCCTCTCCTCAGAAAACTATAAGGAGCTCCAATTACTTCCTGCTTAATGCATAAGCATTAAGGTCCTCCACCAACTCTCTGAGCTCTATATACTACCCTCCTTCCTTACTATTTCTCACAGCAGAGGTTCACTGCCACTGTTTTCCTTATTCTCCCTACTTTTCAAACAGGATGGGAAATCCAGGCTCACCATCTATTTTCTAGCCAAGTAATTCCAATTACCAGCTTTGGCTTCAGTCTCAATTTAAACCTTTTTTTTCCCCTAAACTTTCCCCAACCTATCTACCCCTGTCTTTCCCCTGCGAAAACCCTACTACAAATGCCCCTCATGGGATTTAAGTTTTGGAAATAACCTCTGGTAATCATCCAATGCTTTAATTATTACACATGAGGAACCTGAGGCCTAGAGTGTTGAAGCAATTTTCCTTAAGGTCATACAGCTGGCAAGTAGCAGAACTGGGATTTGAACTCAGGTCCTTGGACTCCAACTCCATTGCTCTTCCCAGAAGCCTTTGTAGATGAGTCCCACCCACTTTTCTCTCTCCCTTCATGTCTACCACGGCTGTATTTACTTTCACATAGCTGAATTACTGTGCCCTCCTCCCCTGGGAGGCCAAAGCCCTTCCCAACACAAGTGTTTTCCACTCTTCTGAATGGACACAAGAAGTCCTCCATCAGCTTTGGGGAGAAATCCCAAGCAAAGACAGAAGTGCAGCTGAGCGTGGAATGTGCTGACCTCGTCTCTTCTCCGCCAGCACTTCCGAATAAAGGAAGAAATAATGAATGAAAAAAAAGTGTTCTTGATCTGATTCCTTTCAAGTGTTGGCTTCCATTCAATTTCCTGGAGAAAGAGTTTATCTTGTTTATGAATGATGACTTCTACACAAATCTCAAAAACGCTGGACCACAGATGGCTGAGTCAGGCCGTTTTCAATCACTATTCATCGTGTGTTACAAGGTCCACCCTGGAACTTGGGGACCAGCTTAAAACCACTTTCACCTGGGGTGTCATAGTCTCTGGATAATTAGTGTTTTGGATTTGAGCTTAGACAGGCACCAGGGCATTTGGCTGGGGCAGAGGGATAAACAGCTTATAAATGAATATCCTAGGTGCCACAAACTCAGAAAATATCTTTTTTCTTTTTTTTTTAATCATCCCTCCCTTCCACATTCTGGAAAGAGCAATGAGTTTGGGGTAAGAAAACCTGGGTTTGAATCCCAGTTCTGCCTCTTCTACCTTTCTAAACCTCTATTTATTCAGGTGTAAAGTGAGGCACAATGCCTGGAACACAACAGGTACTTAACAATGTTTATTGATTAACTAAATGGTTTCTTACACCTACAAATCCTACAGTTCTCTGAATGAGGTGCTTCCAGTGGGTCATCTTGTTCATGTTTTGGGGTTTCCAGGAGGAACCTATGAAAAGAGTGAAAGCTGGAAAGGGAGGTCAGATATGGTGCCCTTATCTGAGGGTTCTAGCTTCCTCAGATAATAGGAAATAATAATTACTATAGCAACAGACACTTTTCATGATGCTTTCATATCAAATATCTTATTTGATCCTTATGATCATCATGTGAGATAGACAGCATGGGTACTATTATCCCTATTTAAAAAAATTTTTTGGCCTGGACCTGCAATTACATTGGTGTAGATAACTCCTTTTTCCTAAGCAGAGCTGTAACTATTCTACAACCTATAGTCTTAGAGAGCTGCCACTGAAATATTCACTGAAAAGTTAAATGACTTGCCCAGGGTCACACAGCCAGTATGTTTCCGAGGTAGGACTTGAATTCGGGTATTCCTGAATCCATGGCCAGCTCTCTATCCAACTACACCACACTTATTTAATTTTTTTAAAATAAAAATTTTTGATTTTTTTGTTTTTGTATATCACTTAGATTCCCTAGTGTATCCCTCCTTTATCCTCCTTATCATCTCTATTATAAATGAGAAAAATGAAGAGTAGAAGTGACATTAGGAGGAAAAGGAGGATGGGCTCGGAAAGGAGATGGAGCACTTTGACAATACTCTGAGACTTTTGCGATTATCTCTCTCAAGTCTATGATCTACCCTTTGTTGTTTTAAATCACTATATTTTGAAGGAAAAATGGGAAAGGATGACAACCCAGTAAAAGGTGGGAACTGAGTAATTTTGAAGACTGTAATAAAACTGCTAATGATGAAAGATTGGGCCCACAATAAATACTCTCTTTGCAAGTGTGAATTTCTTCCTTGCTCATCTCAGGGTTCTTAAGTGACCTTAAGGACTTAAGACTTTGAGAATCCTGGAACAGATAGGCATAAGTATGACATTTAGTCTTCTTCTTTTTAAATGGCTTTCAGATGCTGGTGCTGGTCCTCTCCACTCACTTCCCATTCCAAACAAACAGACAGAAGACTGCTTTCTCCCTGAGCAGGAAATAGACTTTCAGTAGCGGAGACGACTTCAGCCCAGAAGTCTTTCAACACAGAAGGTTCTGCCAACAGCCCATTCCACCTTCTCAACCTTTTTATTGACTTCAAGCTAAGTTAAGCTTTTAGGCATTTCTGCTGATGCATAGAAGGATCATCTAAACCTAGCCCTGACACAGAAATTTCTCCCTGTTTTTCTCTCCTATTTTTCCATGCCTAGATACTCCCTACTCCATTCTAGGTTATCACTTCATCTCTCAGCTTTCCCAACTATCTTATTTCTTCAATCAACATAGATTGGACCAGATCCCATCTTTTCTTTCTTTCTTTTTTTCATTAAAGGCTTTTAAAAAAGTATTTAGTTTATGTCATTCTTTTACTAATTTGTTTTATCTGCAGCTTTGAGGTATAAGCTTCTGGTGTGTTATTTTAATTCAAATTTTGTATACTTCCTAGAGTGGCATCAGTTTCCCACTATCTTGGGATACCATGGCATTCGTGGCCGGAGTATAGGGAGAAACTTGAAATTTCTGAAAGAGAAGCCAACTGGCCATCAACAAACCAACTTACTCTTTGGGGGGATTCAGATCTTCAGGTCTGGTCTCAAAGAACTGAAGCACTTCATCACACTGAGAAATGTAGGGTGGCAATCGGATCAGGGCCTGAGGAAACACAGAGAAATGTGGAAATATGGTCCTTGTAGGAAATCTGACCATAGGGAAAGGAGGGAAAAGAAATTCATAGTGCTAACTGGTTGAGAGTTCCTCACAGTCTCCCCACACTCATCCTCCCACTGAGTTCTTCAGACCTTTATCTGGACCTGTACTTTATACTCTGATAGGTATCCTCCCCGTGCTGTTTCTTCTGAGGACCGAGATAAGGTTCAACTTGCTGGACTTACAGAAAGCTTGGGAGATTTTGTGTTTGAGGTCTATGGTTCAGGGCCTTGAAAGTTCAACAAAGGTGGTAAGAGCTCTTTGGTGCGACTGGCTTCTCTTTTCCCAAAGTAGGTGAAGTTTGGCTGGAGGTTAGAGAGAGGAATCCCCAAATAGCATCATTACCCCCAGTGATATCAAGGAAGTCCCCTTCTCCCTAAGACAGAGAACTCAAAAGAAACTGTCTGCAGATGTTGGGCTCTAACAATGAGATACATTGGTTAAAGACGCTGCCTTTGTGGAAACATCAAATTATTTCTCACCCACCAGATGCTGTTTTTATTTTCAGTTTTTACCCATCTGGCAACATATGACCAAAGGAAAAGTCTAGCATCTGCTTATGGGGATGGATTCCTTACCAAACACAAGGGATAAGAATGAATGGATCAAGGGCTGAGTGCTTAGCTATTTCTGTGCTGATCAGCCAATTAACTAACAAACAAGTATTGATTGAGTAGGTAATTGACTATACCACAGTATTTAATCCCATGGTAAGCATTGTGAAGAATAAGAGAAACATTGTTCACTCTCACCCCTCAAGGAACTGACAAGTTAGCTGGGGGGCAGAGGAGGGGCCAGTACAGTTTGGTACAGGGGTCTTGCCCCCCATCATGTGGCCCCCTACTCACACCACTGAATTCCCCCTGAATTCTGGAATGGTAGATATATTCATTAGCACTCTATGGCACAAACTTTAGAAACTGTCAAATGTAATGACATTTTCCTGAAAAAGTCTCATTTACTTAAAACACTTGGTATTTATGGCTCACTGATTTTTATTGCCCCCCCCCCTTTTTAACTATGTCAGTTTCTTCAGCACTAATCCAGACGGAATCCATGTGTAAATCAAAGAATCCAAAAGGGATTTCAGTATGCTTTTTTTTTTTTCCCTTCCTAAACTCCACTCACTGGTTTGGAACTCATTCTCACATCCTGAGTTAAGGAGGATAGCACACTAAGTTATTCCACTTTCTCTGAATTTATAGACTAAACCAGACATTATATACAAGGTATCCCAAAAGTCTTGGTACAGATTTAAGCCTTGATAGTACACTCTGCACTAAAACTTTTGGGACACTGTAGTCATTTATAATTCTTCTAATTGTTTCATGCATGCTGGGATTTGGAGTCAGGGGAATTGGGTTAAAAGAAAACTAAAGCGTTGGTACTTATTAACTGTATGACCTTGGGCAAATCACTTAACCTTTCTGTATCTTAGTTTCCCCATCTGAATTGAAGGGCTTCTAAGGTCTCTTCTAGTTCTAAATCTATGAACATGTGAATGGTTAGCATTGTCTCCTGAGCCAGACTGTGTGCTTTCCATGGCATTTGACCCAGGCCTGCACCTCTAGAAGATGCACAAAATGCTTGCTAATGATAGCCTGGCAACTCCATCAAGTTTGAGAGGCAAAGGGCATCAGGAAATCGGTGGTGATGACTGCTAGCTGTAAGCCCTGCACAAAGCAGGCACCTGAATACTGTCATCTCTCAGACTTGTGACAGCCTCTACTCATCTTATTTAGCTTATTTTTGTCTGGGAGCTCAGGTTCCCAATAAAAAGACAAAGAGAAAAAAAGCAGGAGAAGAAAGACATTAAAAAAGAACCGATCTATAAATGAGCCCAGGGCACCCAGCACAAATTGGCACTTAGAGGAAACTTCTTTACTCAGAGGCCATAGCAGTCGCAGCCAATCCAAATAACAAGGGACAAAACTGGAAAAGTGATGTCCCCAGACAACGCAAGACCTAATTTTAGTGCCAATCTTTTCCTTCTCCAGTGAATACAAAACTAATCTGGTCACAAGTGGCTGCACAGACAGGTTTAATTTCATCTCCTTATACCCATGCTGGGAATTGGAACAACAAATTTTCACTTTGAAATTCAGCAAATGCTTATTATTAACAAAATATAAAAGGGAAGAGGCACCATTCAGTTCCTAGAAAACACTGAGTTGTCCTGTTTTGGGGTTGCATCTCTCAAGGCAGGAACAATGTCTGTCATAGTAGTTCCAGAGAAATCTTGACCCATTTGGGTAAGATGCAAGGAGTGCATGATATGTGCAGAGAAAGTCCTGCTTAACTCTCTGCCCATATGATACTCCCCAACAGTTTTAGCTTATTCTAGAGACTGGCCTCTTCCTTTGGAGGAAGTACGGATGTGGAAATTCAGGCTAAGCTGAACATCCACTTTATTACACATTAGTGCAGAATGCAATGCATTAACCAGAGGGAGAAAAGGCTTCTAAGTGGGTCATAGAACATCAGGCATTATGTTCCAGTTGTTAAGCCAAATGGATTCATTATATCTTACACCATCAAACACAACAGCCAGAAGCAGAAGGCAGTAGTTTCTTATCACTTAAGGACTTTTTCTCCCAAAATCGAATTTGGTAATGGTGATAGGAATGGAGGATTATATAAGTGCTACGTGTGGGGAGGTATGTGTGGATTGCTGTTCAGATTTGGGAAGTTAGACTTATAAAGGTAGAGGAAACTGGCTCATAAGTAGGTAGGAGGAGGAGGAAGAGAGAAGTTAAGCTGGCAAACAGCCCATTAGGAAGGCATGGGGGGAACATGTTGGAACAACATTCCTCAGCTTGGCAGAGTGACCCTAAGAGGTCTAAGAGCATAATACTCTTGGCAGGGCACGGAATTACATAAAGGGACATTGTCCCTTAATGGCACATAAAGGGAAGGGGACAACATTAAAAACTTTTCCCGTTTCCACAGGTTTATGATTTAAAAGCACTTTCTTTACAACCCTGGTATAGTAGAAATCTTTTTAATCTGATTCACAACCCTAGAAGTATAAATCATCACCCCCATTTTACAGATGAGGAAGGAAGAGGCCAAGTGACTTGTTTGTGAGTCACACACTAGGAAAGGTTACAGCTGGGATCCAAACCCGTGTCTCTTGGTTTCAAGGTCAATGCTCTTTCCTCCACATCACTCAACTTTGCTAGGCTTTGACATTTCCTTTGTCCCATGCCTGGAGCCGTCTAAGAAAAGATGGCAGTTTTATGAGACTCCCTATAAAGGGGGAGTTTGTATTTGCCTGAGTTTTCTGAGAAATAACCTTTTGAACATGTTAGTAATAGTGATAAATAGCATTTATATAGGGCTTTAAGGTTTGCAAAGCACTTTACAGATTTTTTTCATTTTATTATGCCCATTTTACAGATAAGGAAATTAAGAGATTAGGGTCACAAGAGTGGTAGCTGTCTGCAGCACAATTCAAACCCAAGTCTTTCTAGCATGAAGTCCAGCACTCTCTTCACTAGATGAGGCTGCCTCTTACTTTTGTCTCATGCCTCCTTTTCTTATACTCCACCGATCTCCTCCTTTATTGTTCATCTGTGAGCCACTAACAATTTCCCTTCCTACAAAGAGATGATTATTTCCTGCCTCCAACTAAGTAGCTTGTCATTTCATTTACATCTCAATACTCATTAAACCTGCTTTTTATCCACAGTGTAAACCTCCAAGGTTTTGTTTTTCCCACACAATGGTCTGTGCCTTTAAAGGATCAAGATTTAAGGAACTGCAGAAGTTTTATGTTCTAGCAAGGGATCCTTTGGCTCAGAAATCCCACTGACTCAGGACGTTTCCCAATAGGACTGAGGCTTCCCACCCCAGAATTACAGCCCCAGAGATACCCCAGCCCAGTTGCCATGGCTGCCTGTGCAATACCCTACCTCTACCCATGTTCATGTCATTCTATGACACCCAATAGAGTTGATTCCTCAACACCATGCTGCATGCTACAAACAAGACCAAAAAAAAAAAATCCTAGTCTTTCTCTGCCCCCTGCCAAAGCAAAACAAAGAAATGGGTCACTAAGTATTTCCTGGGGAATGTCACAGAACCACAGAACATTTCTGCCAACTGATCATCCCTGTCCTTGCTTGAAGATCTCCAGTGATAGGGAACTCACTACCTCCTAACCTACCTCGTTTTTAAATAGCTCTAGCTGCTATGAAGTTTACCTTTAGAGTATATATAAGAAATATTTTATGTATATAATATATACCAGAATATATAATGCTATATATTTATATTATGTACAATAAAATGCATAACATATGTATACAGGATAAGTAATATAGAATATAGCATATATAAGTATATATAAGAAATAGGTATGTGTTTATGTATATACATGTATATAAGAAAGAAATCTCGTCCTCTGCATTTTCCACCAATCCTGCTTCTAGCTCTGTTCTCTTGGACAAAACAAAACAAATTCAATTCCTCTTTTGCATGATAGTCTTTCAAATTATTATTATTTTTTTTTACTTTCAAATTCTCAAATGACACTTATCATGCCCTTTCCACTGGCAGGTCTCTGGTTCCCTCACCATCTTGGTCACTCTCCTCTGAAAATGTTATAGCTTATCAATGTGCTTTCTAAAATGTAGAGCCCCAAACTGGACAGAATTCTCTTTATGAAGACTATCCAGGTCAGAGTATCATTGGTCCTGACACTCAAACACAGATTTTGTCTTATAGTCACAGAAATAAACACTGTTGGCTCAGACTGAGCTTGCAGTCCACTAAAACCTCTACTGAGTTATTTTTAACTGGGACCCTCTTTGAATTCCTGTCCCTGACAGGAGAAATGATACCTAAAATATCCTGTGCTTTACTAGAGTGGCTTCTGTTTTGATGTCTGAAAAGTCATTTCCAAATATGAGAGAAAGAGACAGGTATGTGCATTTGTACGTGCAAAACAAAAAGATAATACCTTGTTCCTGTTGAGGGACAATAATATATATGTATACAGTGTGCTGCATAAAGTCAATTCCACTGAGAGCAATCAACCAATCATTAAACATTTATTAAAGGCTGTCTATGTGCCTCGTACTGTGCTAAGCACTGGGGACACAGAAAGAGACAAAAGACAGTTCCTGCCCTCAAAGAGCTTACTATCTAATGGAGCAGTAGATAGTACAAGGGAGAATGACAGTTTTAAAGACATGGAAGATTGGACTGCCAATTGTGAGATAGCTTTCAACATACCTTACAGTATTCATCAATGGGGATCAGGCGTTTGACAGCTACATCCCTGATGTGGCTTCGTCTGAAGAGAATTTTGCCTAGAGTGGAGGAAACCAGGACACTGTTGTCATTAGTTAATATTTAAAATGGAAATCTGTGTTTTATGCTGTGTAGATCGTCTCTGTGTACTCTCCCAATAATTCTGTGCTCTGGCAATGGTGGGGGGAGGGAGCATGCCTTAGAGCAATGGGATGCAATTAGTTTGATGTGGAAGAAGATACTGGGAAAGGTCTGAAAAAAAGCCTGCAGAAGACATTCTTCTTTACCTTTACACAGCTCATGTCACCAAGTCTTCATTCTACTAACCTTACACTGGGTCAAATATCCTTCTTATTTGCAAAGATCATACAACACTGAAATTCCTTCTCCAAAGAGTATGGAAGAAAAGCAGAGGTGCACAACCAACCATACATGCCTTATAAGAAAGGCAAGGGGCAGGGGCAGCTAAGTGGCACAGTGAATAGAGCACCAGCCCTGAAGTCAGGTCAGTTCAAATTTGGCCTCAGACCAAACACTTGACACTTACTAGCTGTGTGACCCTGGGCAAGTCACTTAACCCCAACTGCCTTAAAAAAAAGAGAGAGAGAGGCAAAGGGACAGATTGAAAAGAAGTATAGAAATATTAATCAAAATTTCAGGAAAACACAAGCCCTCTTACCTGTGACTTTTGTTCAATAACCTCTTGCCCACCCCCACACACACTGAGTACAAAAAAAAATTAAATAAGGTTAGTAGAAACATTTTTTTAAATGAAGTTTTACCATAGAGTGGCTTAGGCATCTCCCTCAATTACCTTAGTAAATTAAACAGTTGCATAATTATCCATCTTTTAAAATACAGAACAGATGCATTCCTGGAAAAAAGTGCTTATGATGTGAAATTCTGTAAATTGAATCCTACCTTTTCATTAATTTACACTAAAAAATTAGGAATGTAGCTCTAAAGAGTACAAATATGGCCTCAGACACTTCCTATGTGTGACCCTGGGCAAGTAATCCACTGGAGGAGGAAATAGCAAACCACGCCGGTATCTTTGCCAAGAAAAGTCCATAGACAGTATGGTCCACTGGATCACCAAGAGTTAGACATGACTGAACAACAATTTTGACTTCAAGACCAATGATCTTTCCATGCTGCCACACTGTAGCTAATGTCATCTGCCTTCTAATGTGGCTTAAAAACTCCTTTCCCCTAAACCCCTCAGATCAAGTCCAATCCATTACATGCTTCACTGATTTAAAAAATTTATCACCAGAGGTGCCTTACTCAGATGTTCAGGCCTTCATTTTATTTGCTACAATGCTTCAGTCACAGATTCATTTGCCCAGCAACTCATTTGTGAAGAACTGACTGGATGCCCCTTAGTTTTAGAGCCTTCTCATTTGAGCCCCAGGCAAGCAGAGCACAATAGTATGGCTTTCCAGCCTTTCGCTGGATCAGTTAGGGTCTTTGGAGCAGAATTGTTGCTTTGCAAAAAGAGAAGCATTCTGGTGGGAACTAGTGGGTTTTGTTTTCTGTGGTGGAAGAAGGCCAAACTGTAATTCTTATAATTCAAGCCATGCCCTCAGCCAAGTTAGCTTTTCCAGCTCTGGTCAGGATGGAAAATTGCACAGGGGTGCTTCCCAACCCCCTACCCGCTCCTTTTTGGTGCTACTATCAGACTTGCTCTTGTTTTGCTGATGCTAGAGTCTTAGAGCTTGGAGGGTGAAGTCAGACCACTGCATCCCTGGGAAACAGAACATTTCTAGAGAGCTCCCCTCCCCTTCTCTTGGGCTGCAGGAAATGCCACTGGTGAGGCTGAGAGGAGACATTCCAGAGGGTCACACTACGTATGGGGGTTTGGAAGACCGAAGGGATTCCATGAACGCAACAAGTGGTCACTGCAGCTTGTTACAAAGAAGTCCAGTTTTGGGGAACAGTGTTCACATTAATTCTTGGGTGGGGGTGGGGAGCCATGATCAATAAAGCTTCAGGAGGTCAAAGAAGGTGCTCTTAACTCTATCTGGGAGAGATTTTCCAAAGACCATTGTGGCTGTTTGTTTTATCCAGTAAAGTTACAGTTATCCGTTGTACTAAATTCTAAGAATATGTGGTGCATGCCTAGAATCCAGTGATTCTTTTTCAGGTCAATTGAAGCTAAGCATAATTCCAGTATATATTCTAGTATACCCCTCAGGGTTGTTGTGTGTGCAGAAAATGAAATAATATTGGTAAAGGTGCTTTCAAACCTTAAAGCAATATATAAATGCTAGCTATTATTATGATCATTATTGCTGTTGTTGTTAGGGAAATAGAAGAAATGTTGCATAACAGATACAATGCTGGGCTTAGAGTCAGGAAAACCAGGGTTCAACCCTGACCTTGGGTTTTAGTTTCCTCATCTGTAACTTAAGGGGGGGGGAACTGGTGAACTAAAAGATTCCTCAGGCCTCTGCCAGCTCTAAATTCATAATCCTAAGTAATGAATTCACAAGCTGTGTGAGCCTGGGCAAATTACTTAACTTCTAGGGCCTCTGGCAGCTCCCTAGGGCTAATCTCTTAAATTGGGGTCCTACAGTCAGCATGGCCATCTTGGGGCCTGTTTTTGAAGCCTGTTTTTATAGTAGGCCATGAAATAAGAATGGTTTTTACATTTTTAAATACAGTTTTATTGTATTTTAAAATGTAAAAATCATTCTTAGCTTGCAAACAGGTAGTCAGTAGTTTGTTAATCCGTCTTAAATCATACACAGGTTGCAGCTGGTATTGGGGGAGGTAGTTCCTACACCTGGAGATGCCCATACTGATGAAATCACATCTGAATAAAAATTGGGAAAGGGACGTCTCTAAGTCTGCCCTAGAAGTTGGAGAAGAAAAGAGAAGTAACATTCTGCTGGCTCATAGTTCCAAGGCAAGAACTGATCTAACAGAGAGGCTGGGGTCCCCTTGTATAAGTCTTAGGCAGAATAGGGTGGAAAGAATATTGGATTTCAGGTCAGAAGATTGAGGTTTGAATCCTGGTTTGGTTACTTACTTGCTAACCTTCCCTAAGCCTCAGTTTCTTCATCTGAAAAATGAGGTGTTCTTTCTGTCCCATTTCTTTAGTTTCGTTGTGTCTTTGTTTCATTTACATCTTTTTTTGTCCTTCTTTTCTAAGCTATTGACTCTCTCTTGCATACCTCTCACTTCTTTTCCCATTTTTCCTTCTGCCTCTCTCATTTGACTTTCAAAATCCTTCTTGAGCTCTTCTAAGGCTTTTTGGGCTTCAGATCAGTTCATATTCCCTTTTGAGGTTCCAGATGTGGGTTTGTTGACAATGTTGTCTTCTTTAGAATTTCTGCCTTGATCTTCACTGTTCTCATAATATGAATCTATGGTACGTTTCTTTTTGCTCAAGGTGTTTGCTTATTTCCTGGTCTTTAAAGAGATTGAACCCTCCTGCTGGGGAGCAGAGGGCACTGACCCAAGCTTCTTGTGTTGGGAGCCTAGGGCCTGGTCACTAGCTTTGTGTGCTGGGGCCTTCAATGTTGGCAGTTGGAGGCTGTAGAGTTCTGGCAGCTTACCTGGTGTTGGGCTGGAATCAGCAACACTGGAACTCCTAGGGATAGGATTGGGTAGTCTGGCCCCTGGAAGTTGTCTGCTTTTTCTTTCCTTTTGCTTTCTTCAGCTCCTTTCAGATGGATGTTGCAGGATGTTTATCAGCC